AATACTTTCTGAGCCGTTTCGCCCGTTTCTGATACCCGTTTCTCTATTTTGTTCGGGTTTCACGTTTTCGCCAGCCGTTGGCCTGCCCTGCTTCACGAAACGCCATCGGTTTATCAAACTTATGGGCCTTCTGTTGTGTTAAATAGAGAAGGAGTTTTCTGGGGTTTTGTCAAACGAAAGCCCAGTTTTTCCGTACGTTACCCCCTCCCAAACGGCGGCGGATTAATGAAAGCCTTGAATTTAAATAAAGAATAATTGGTTTTAGTTTTGGAACGCGAATTGCTGGTTTTCCCGGCGGCAAGACTTCTTTCCCCGGCCGACGGCGGAGGACGGCAGGCGGCTTCTGCCGGAGTTGAAGAATGACTGTAAGATCGGATTGCTGTTGATATTGAATGTGGGGGGTAAAGCTTAGGGCTTCTACGAGTCATTAGCACCAAGAACATTCATGAATTGACTACAATTACAGCAGTTCAGCTAAATTGCAATGTTTCTTTCCCACAAACACAAAGCATCACAACGATGCGTCATTTCACAAGCTACGAGCAAACGAACAAAGCCATGGTCATCTAGAACCTGGCTTGTAAAAACTCTAACCAATTGTTGTGTTCCTCATAGTACTTGGAATTAGGGCAATGATCTTATTTGTGACGAAATCAAGGATTGTAAAACCTTTTACTGGGAAGGAAAGTTAGCAATACTGGTGAAACTGTGGTTCAATCGTTTAATACGATGAAAATTGCTTATCGGTTTAGACTCCGATAAGTGATTCTCCGGAGGGACCACTCGGTGCGGTTTCATGGATGGCTGGGTAGCTGACTCTTTGATTGAATATGGAATGTTGCCCAACAGGCAACAGCTGGGTCACCGCCGTGACTAAACTACTCAAAAATGGCAGAGTAAAGAGAGAGACACCATCTCTCTGTAGGATGATCGAGTCAACAGGGTCCAAGTCTGCAGCAGCAAAACTAACTGCAAATTTTTGGAGTGTACCGTACAGTGGAAAATTCAAGGAAGCAGGGGTTGTACGGACGGACGGAATTGAATTTCTTTGGAATCTTTCGACGACTCCAAATAAATAAGAAGAAGAAGAAGAAGGAAGAAATAGTCAGCAGTGACGTTATTTTAAGAGAGTGAATTAATTGATTGATGATGTCATTGTTCATTAATATTGAGTAAATAGATTACAGATGGGGCTGTGTTTGTGTTATGTGGCTGGGATGGATTACTGGGTCAGTTGGTTTTGCCGCGTCGTTTCTAGCTGGAGAGAAAACTTCTCCTTTTGTGGAGTTCCAATTGTTAGTAGCCACCAGTAGGGAAAGCTTTTGGATATGTATGGTAAGGTCTCTCGTTATAAAAAAAAGAAGTAAATACGAACAGGGGAATCGGTCGTATAAAATGGTGACTCAACTTTAGGATCATGTGAGCTGAAATGAGAGGTTGATAGCACCGAATTAATTAACCATCTATATCTCTTTTTTCTTTTAAATAGCCACATTTGGTCACTGAGATTAGTGTCATGTTTAGTCACTAAAAAATTAATATCAATTTTGGTCACTTGAATTACTAAAACATGGTCACTGACATTAATGGAGTTCGACGGAAACTAACGGAAGAGTGACTAAATGTGACATGTTTCAGTAATTCGAGTGACCAAAATTGATATTAAAATTTTCTAGTGACTAAACATGACACGATTTAGTAATGTCAATGACCAAATGTGGCATTTACCTTTTTTGTTGTTAGCCAATTACCAAGGTAAGTAGATAAATAAAACTTACAAAACCGAACAAAGCCTAGAAACAAAATCAAACTCTATAGCAAACAAGAGTAGAGTGAAGTGGCGAAATGATCTTTATACCTCATTAATATGAGAATTTTCGGACAAACAACACGGCGAGTTGTTGTTGAAATCAGTTTCGAACTCTGAATCTATTTATCATATAGTGATCAACCATCCATCGATCTAAGAAACAAATCCGTTAACGGGTGAAAAAAAAACCCAAATTCCTGACCAATTATGTAAGTGACTATATCTTTTTTAAGATCAATGTGGAATGACTAGTTGTTTAATTTACTAATCTCCAAAGTTTGGTGACCATTTATGTAGTGATTGATCTGCAAAGAGATCTGCTGTCCTTTATAGCAAAAAAAGCATATAATAAGAGATTTGCTGTCCTTTGATGGCTTGTTGTGGTGGAAAGTCCCACTTGCCTGCACTTGAAAAGATTGATTGGGAGCTAAAGCCAGCCAAATGTCCAAATTTCTAATACCCACTGCCCACTACCATTTTAACGCACAACAAGTGACAAGTTTTATTTGGTCGGCAGAAGTAGTTTGCGGTTGATGGATTCAAATAGCTCTAAGGACAACAACAGGGGGAAACTGTATTGTCGTTTGAGATTTACATTATCCTATAATAGTATCGATATCGTAATACTCGTACTCATACTAGCTAACTGTATGCTAAGTATGAGTTAGATCGAAGAATATCCGATTTGAAGAGTACGAGTCGAGACATATGGTTTCATTTAGATATACATGCGTGTGACAGAAAGAAAAGGTAAAGAGACGCGATAAGTCAATTATGTCAAGATATATTGAGAAAGAAGATTTAAAAATAAAAAAGTGAGAGAATGAAAATGATTAATGAAATCATACTATTTTTTAGAGCAAGACCAAATGACTACTGAAGTCTGATGGTGAGAGAACATTTTATTTGAAGGTGACTACGTTGTGCTTAAAGTACGAATGAGAATTAGATCATAATTAAATAAAAAACATGAGCATGCAATCAAAGATCGAGTAGAAGAAAAACTCATGTTCGGCCCCACCTCAAACCGATGGCAGTAAGTTTGAGATATATAATAATTTGTAAGACTTTGATCCTCTTATAATAATTTGTAAGACTTCATTTTTATGAATTTCCTTCAATATCCAAAACAAGTCGAACATGTCGTATCTATCATAAGGACTAAGCCATGACGAAATTTCAGATGACATCTAAAATTCTCTCATTAAAAAAAAACTTAAATGTATCTAGCTTATCCTCCTTCTAGATTGGAGCGTACATAAACATTGGTTATATCGGGGAAGAAAATTACAAACCACAAACTCGATTAGCTAGCTAGGAGGGACAGATTGGAAACCCTAGCAAGAAGATGTAGTAAAATTGATAAAACGTGCACAACAGTTTGTCGTTTACAATGAAGACACTAACTACTCCAACTATACATAACAATCCCTGCAATATTATATATATTTAGCATTAATCAAAATTGTTTTGTTCTTAATTAATATTTAATTACTATACCCCCACAAGAACCTCAAGCTTACGCTAGCAATGGAGAAATTAACCACATTTGTTTATTGGGAATGTACTTAGCTACACGTTTTATGTAGCTAAGAGTGACATTGACACAAAGCAAGTTCATGAACCCAAATTAGGCAAAGGTGGCCGATGAATCGAGAGTGTTATATTGTCTCATCTCTAGTTAGTAGTCACCACTTATCAATTACTACTTTCTAACAAGACTTTTTTATCCTCTCATATCTTCCCTCTTTTCTTATAACTTTATGAAAACTTCGTTTTACAACTTAAGCATTCGAGAGTGTCCATCGCTAACGATTTTAAGAAATTTTATACAGATACTTAACAATCCATACAGCCCTGGACCACCAGACGGACTGGCCAATAAGTATCGTGACACAAAGTTGTGCCCAATCAAAGAGGTGTCAGATATCCGGTTGATCATATGCATCAGATATCATGTACCAAGCAACGATTGCCCGAATTTGACCACCCAAAACATCATTCAGGATAAGGTATCACCTCATTGAAGGTTTGAAGCACTACAACTCGAGAAGATTAATTGCGATGTCAAAACTCAGTTCGTCCCAATTATTCGACTTGTCGCATCCACTTAAATTAACACGGGTTACTCTATGAGATTTGAAGTGTGCGCATGTCCAAATATCCTTTCAATCATCAAATGCTCTAGTACCAATCTATCAATAAGGTGTTCCTAATGTATCTAATTGATAAAAAATATTTAAATTATGAATTTTATATCATTCACTCTCACACACATCAACATTCTTACAAGTATGATGTGGAAATTCATTTCTTTTTTATCTTGTTTTATGTTTTCTTCTTTCAATCTCTTGGTTGACTTGAAGAATAGTAAAGAATGGCAAGGATAGGTTACCTCAATTGTATCTTTTTATTCGCAGGAAGAAGATGCCCCAAACCTAATATGGATCTCACCGCCACCATATAGACACACTAATCTATGCTGCAACTCCCTGGTCCCGACCTTGTGGAATAATTAAGGGCTTCAATTTGTTCTTTAAATGATTCCATCAAATTCTATTACTTAACAACTAACCGGCTATTCAAAGTATGTTTTCTAAAAAGTAGATTCCCCTCAAGAACCAATTGGAAACAGGGAGTTAGATCAAAATAGCATGATGTGTAATTTCTAAAAATTTAATTTTTATTTTTTAATTATTTTTTATTTGCCACGTCACACATTTAACGGTCAACTATCAGAGTTGACCGCCACGTCAGTCAAAGTTAACGGAGGTTAACGGAGAGTGATCGAACTTGAACTGTTCAACTAATTCGAGTGACTATAAATGGAATAAATTAATTTGAGTGGCAAACGTGAAATTTTATAGCAATTCGAGTGACCAAACTTGCAATTAAGCCTTAACAAAAATCTATTGAGAAGTAACCAAAATGCTTTTTAAAGCTGAGTGGAGTGGGGTCGTGGGGGAAGGAGTGCCACGTCAGCAGGATGCCTTTCAGGTCTTTTATCCAATACCGGCTGCCGGCTCCCTTAGCTGTTTCTCCACTGTATAGACCCTTCCTTTTTCCCGGGCCCACTCCCCTCCAAAATCACAACTATAATTTAAAATTTTAAAAAAGAATTAGAAAAAGATCCATTTTTGTTGTTGTCAATTTGTAGTTTTTGATTGTGAAATGTGAAAAAAAAAAATCACAAGAAAAGCTTCTCTCTTTCTTCCTTTTCTTCTTCTATACTCCCTCATCGAATTTCCTCCCAATTTCCTTTCTGTATAAATCCCATCCCACAACCAATTTCCAAACTTTTTCCTTCCTTCCTTTCTTCTTCTTCTTCTTCTTCTTCTACTTTCATTTCTTCGCCGCCAGCCAGCCATGCCAGTTTCAGTTTGGTGGGGGAAGAAGTTCAGCAGCAAGAGCAGCAGCCCGACCAGCGGCGGCGGAAACAACAACGAGAGCTCGTTTTCTCCCAAGTCGTCGGCCAAGCTTGATAACTTCAGGAGGAACAGCTCCGATTCACCGTCAGCTGCTCCCGGTTTGACTGGTTCTTCGCGCGCGGGGAGAGATTCCTCCGGCGGATCTTCTGGGTTCTCCGGGTTCGATTCGGATGCCGACAGGCGCGGGCACCCTTTGCCCCGCCCGTCCGTCAGTGATCGCGGCGGCGATCAGGGTGGGGGCATAGTCGGGTGTGGGATTGGGTCGGGTTCCGGCTCGGCCTCTGGGTCCGTTTCCAGCGTCAGCTCGAATGGGTCGGCTGGTGATGAGCCCCAGATTGGGAGTGGTGATAATCAGGCGACGTTTTTCGGCGGTTACAGGTTGGTTTTCTTTTTTCAGGTCTCTTCGATTGCTGATTCTTGTCTCTATAATTAGGGGGGGTTTTTGAATTGTGGGCCTTGGATTTAGCTAGAGCTATCTAGTTTGTTTGATCTCTGGAGAAATACAAGGTTTCTAGGGCAGGCGGCCATTAACAATCTGTGAAGTTTTCTTTGTAATTATTGCTGTAGACTGAAAAATTGGTAACCTTCTTGCAATTCTCCCTCCCCCTTCTATTGACCAGATACCAATTACTCCAATTTCCTGAGCAATTTGGAAGCTTGGAGTTGCTGAATTTGAGCAAGTCTGGATTTTTATTTGTTGGCTTCAGATTTAGGAGATTTATTTAACTTTTCCTGGATTTAATGGAAATCCTTAGTCTTGCAGTGACTGGTTTAATCTCTTGGTTTATGTATTGTCTAGTTACAATTACTCCTTCCATTTCCTCCCTTTTTTGGAAGCTTGAAGTTTCTGTGTTCTAGTAGTTGACTTCAGATTTAGGGGGATTGATTTCTCTTTTCCTTGATGAATTGGGAATCCTAGTTGATGTTTCAGTCTAAGGGTCTCTGTTCTGTTGGAATGAATGCAAAACCTAGGTCACCCAGCAATCCAGGAGGACGAGCTGAAGCTAAGTTTTACATGGGCTCTAGGAGCCCTGGTCCAGGGTCAAGAAGCCCTGGTCCTAGGTCAAGAAGCCCTGTACCTGGTTCGAGAAGTACAAGCAGGCCTACCTCACCCCTTCATCCGCGGTTAAGCGGTATGAATCTTGATTCGCCAACTGGGAGGTCCGATGACAGCAAAAGCCAATGTCACCCATTGCCTCTTCCCCCAACTTCACCCACTAGTCCTTCATCTTCCACAACAAGCTCAAGAAATCATGGAGGGGGTGAAAGCATGACAGCGACATTGTCAAAATGGAAAAAAGGAAAACTTCTTGGAAGGGGAACTTTCGGTCATGTTTACCTTGGTTTCAATAGGTAGAGCTTGGTTTACCTCCCTTTTTTATCAGTCAGACATGCATATGTAAGCTTGTGAGGATACTGACTTCTGTTTGGCTGTTCGGACAGTGAAAATGGGCAGATGTGTGCGATAAAAGAGGTCAGGGTTGTCTCAGATGATCAGACATCAAAAGAATGTCTTAAGCAACTGAACCAGGTATTATGTTTATACTAGGTGTTGACCTGTAACAACTGAATGTTGACTTTAGACTTGGTTCCACTTATCTGTTTGGTGTTCATATTGTTAACACATTTCTTCTTGTGTACAGGAGATCAATTTGCTTAGTCAACTTTCCCATCCAAACATTGTTAAATACCACGGGAGTGAATTGGTATGAACTACTTGTTCAGATAATTATCAATCACACATTGTGGCATAATTGTTGTTTGCTGGACTGTGCTCTCAAATAACTGTTATTTCATCTGTTCTTCAGAGCGATGAAACACTTTCAGTTTATTTGGAGTTCGTCTCTGGTGGTTCTATTTACAAATTACTTCAAGAGTATGGCGCCTTCAAGGAGCCGGTCATCCAAAATTATACCCGGCAGATTCTGTGTGGACTAGCCTACTTACATGGAAGGAATACTGTTCACAGGTGCAACACATTAACGATTTTCTAATTACCTATATTTCCTATTATAAATGTTGTTTCTATCCTCCTAAGCATTTTTTAATGTTTTTTTATTGTAGGGATATCAAAGGAGCCAACATATTAGTTGATCCTAATGGTGAAATCAAATTGGCAGACTTTGGCATGGCTAAACATGTAAAATTCTACAACCATGTTCAAAAAATACGATGATTTTATTCTCCTTCAATTCTCTGTTTTAGTCATTCCAATCTCATAGATTATTGACTGCTGTTTGTGATTCTCTATGTTACCAGATTACGAATTGCTCTTCAATGCTTTCATTCAAGGGAAGTCCTTACTGGATGGCACCTGAGGTATCCTTCTTTACCCACATATATCTTTTAAAGTAAAAACAGCTTCACACTAACTTATGCAGCCTTGCTTTTGCTTTGCTGTGCTTTTAAAACTATATATTTGGATTCGTGAAGCTGAATTCCACTTGTTAAATATTTTTTACTCAGGTTGTAATGAATTCAAACGGCTACAGTCTTGCTGTGGATATATGGAGCTTGGGTTGTACAATCCTCGAAATGGCAACTTCAAAACCTCCATGGAGCCAGTATGAAGGGGTACAGATTTATAATATCCTCCATTAATTTGGTTTTCACCTTTTCTTCAGCGCGTTTAAAGGGTGTCATGGGATTGATTTGTTTCTTTTCAATGCTTATTCAATAGGTGGCTGCAATATTTAAAATTGGGAATAGCAGAGATATGCCTGAAATACCAGATTTCCTCTCCAACGAGGCTAAGAGTTTCATAAAGTTATGCTTGCAACGAGATCCATCTTTACGCCCTACAGCCTCACAATTGCTGGATCACCCTTTTCTCCGGGACCATGGAATGAGAGTGCCAAATAGCCAACTTTCATCGCCCTACAACTTCGATGGAAGCCGCACACCGGTATGTCTCTTAAACTGATCAGATATGAATCATGACTTTTAGAACTATGAGACAGAGTCATGGTCAATGACATTTTAGTTGCTGTACTATGTTATTTGAACCTGTCCCTTTACCATGTTTCTTTTTCCTAAAATGACATTGTAAAAGGACTAGAAGTACCCCTTTAAGTTAGGCATGCCTATAAGTTATTGTTTCATGAAGTTTGATCAGTCATATGAAGACATGGGATTTAAAACATGAAGTTTGGTTTTTAATCCAAGCATGCTATTCTTTGATTACTTATTATAATTTTGTCTGAGCAGCCGGCACTGGATATTAAATACAACAGGAATGGCATCACATCATCCCATGAGGCGGAGTATCCTATCAAGCCTGCAATCTCCAACGTCAGAGCACCGAGAACTTCAAGGTAAGATTTCAAGCACCATTTGCTTCCATTGTGCCATTGTTTGAAATGTGACTGATGATAGCTCTTATAACCACTGTCCAGGGATGATTTGAGAACGATCACCTCTTTACCTGTATCCCCTTGCTCTAGCCCATTGCGGCAGAGTGTGCCAGCTCACCGAAGCTGTTTCCTGTCTCCACCACACCCTCTCTTTCCCCTGATGGGCCAAAATGGCAGCGGCGGTTATAACATGACCGATTTCTCGTTACAGCCCACAAGACAAATCCCGGGTCTATCTCACAGTGATTTTGTCCTGGAAACCACTCCCCTCACGAACCACATGACAGGTGGCTCGCCAATCACGAGACGCCACTGAGTTGTGTACAGAACAGAGAGAAAGAGATATATACTTTCCATACTGAGAGGGTTCCCTCAAGTAGCCGGAAGCTTGTTTCAGAAGGGAGCTGGGGTAAGCCAGGAGTGAAGCCAAGAGCTACTTTTGGTGCATATGTGGGTTTTATAGCAGGGTTGGTTGGTTCTCTCTTGATTTTAGTTTTGAGGCCAAATCAATGTTGTGTAAAATGGTCTCATCTTTTCGTTTGTGTTGTAAATGAGAGGGCGGCCACCATTGTTGTAACATATGTACTGATAAGCTGCAAGTTTGGTGTATAAGAGAAAAAATTGTCAGATGCCCGGTGATTTCGCCGGACTCTGGAATGTTGATAGGGTTCTTAGGACGGCCTTGTACTGGATATGTTTAATCACAATGATCGAGAATGTTTCCTTCGTTTTCAATTTGGCCCTATGACAATTCAGGTGCAGACAGAACCATGCCGAGCAGCTCCAACATAGCAAGCTGAGCAAAATAATGAGGAAGAAAGATCTGATACATTACATTGGTGAATTTCCTTTTACAAGTCAAAGCTATACATTGTACAAAGTCTTTCAGAATAACTTCTCCTGCAGCTCTGGATGCAATTGTGCCAAGGCTTTATGGCAAGAGAAACATTTTTCTAATTACAGTCTTTCATAATCGAGTTTCTCAGACTGTAAACCAGACCAAAAAAAAAAAAAACAACTTAGAATCATCATAAAACAGAAAGGAGCAACCAAAGGGAAGCAGTTTTTGATTATCAAAGGAGCTTCCACGGTTTTTACTTTTTAACGAAAGACGATATTACCTGGATGAGCATGTCAGTTGGCAGCCAAGCTGGTGCAGTTGGGACTCCAACCCACGCAACCTGCAGAAGATATGGAGAAGAAGGATGGAATCAGTCTAATAAATGGCTGGAATAATGATTCGAGAAAAGTAATCGTTGCGGATTAAGAGGTTCAATCTTCCACACTTTGTAAGTGGATATGTGCTTCATGATCAAGTACTTACAAGTGCATACTCTCCTGTCTCAAAGATCCTTAAATCTAGCACCTGAGAATTGTTGATTGCTTAACAATTTAGTTGAGAAGCAAGAGTTAAAAAAAGGAAGAAGAAGAAGAAGAAGTACACCTCGCCGCGATCTTCATAGATGTAGTCCAAGCCCTTGTAGTATGGCGGATGGCCTACTGACAAGTACTGGACAGCATGAAAACAGGACTCAATAACACAAATCCAAGCCAGGCATGGGAGAACCCAAAAGATTGAATCTTTACACACAAAATGGATCCAGACTATATGGGAGATGCTTGTTCTAACGACTAATTAACTTACATTTATGCTATTGAGGTACTTCTCTTTATCCACTCTCACAATCTGCCCTTTCTTCACTGCAAAAAAAAGCAATCCCCCTGAATCCATTAACACTGGAAAATGGAGGGCTCCAATTGGCAGAAATGGAAAAGAACGGATTACCCACTTGAGTAAACAGGCTTCTTCTTCGGCTTGAGAGTATTGGTAGGAGGAGGAGAAGAAGAAGGCTGATCCTCTGCCTTGGTCGGGGTTGCAGCTGAGTTTACAGCTCTGATAATGGGCTGACGCGACAATGGAAGACGACGACGAGTCGTCGTTTGGGGAATTGGCGGGAATGAGGAGAGAAATGGTACGACGTGGGGTCGTGATAATGTTGCAGAGAATACAGCAGCCATGGCGGATTGGGAGAGGGGGAACAACGATTTACGACCAACGACAAGGTTTCTTGAAGGTTTGTTTGTTTATTTCGCGTCTGGCTTAAATTTTCCAGATAAGAATGGATTGGCGCTTCGTTTCGGAAACCGAAACGTATTACGTTTCTGTATTGCCTTTTGCGTTTCTGGGTAGTAAACAGGTCAGACTTGATATATTTTTTGCGCGAATTTTAACGAGAGGAATTTCAATCCTTTCCCTCCATTTGTGACGCCGCCATGGATTCCTCTGCGCTTTCTCATCTCTCCGCTCCTCGATTATCCCCTATCCACTGCTTTAACTCGACTGGTTTCAATGAAAGAAGCCACTTCTTCCCTCGGAGGTCGGCGGCAGCAACCGCGGCCACCGCCGACTTCGCAATTGAAGCGCAGAATCTGAGCTTCTCGATCGCGACGCGGCAAGGGAATTCGGTCCCGATACTTGAAGATTGCTCCCTCAGAATCCCTTCCGGCCAGCTGTGGATGCTTCTCGGACCCAACGGCTGCGGCAAATCTACTCTTCTCAAGGTAAAGTTCAGTTCAGTTCTTTCTTGAAATGTGAAGTGAGTTCGTGTGTGTAGTAATTCGAGCGGAATGGCGCGGGAATGTTATGGTCCTGACGAATTGAATCGAGATTAGGGAAAGGGAATTTGAGTGGTGCCTTGGAATTGCTAAGAGCGAAGAGGAGTCATTGACTGATGTGGGATTTTTTTATGGTGGTCATTGGACAGGTTCTGGCTGGTCTGTTAAACCCTAATGGTGGAACTTTCACTGTCAAGAGGCCGAAGAGCTTTGTGTTCCAGAATCCGGATCATCAGGTTGGTGTACATTTTCTTTGCACCAAGCATCACCTGTTTGTTTCGTCAGAAATTGCACAGTACATACATGAAGCTGCGAAGATGGCCATTGATTACTGCATTGTGTTATGAGTTTTGTCTTTCCTTAGCTGCCTTTTTGTATAATTTATTAGTTCCCAATGCTGTATGATTTAGTAATCAGGAAGCCTAACCGTGAACAATGTGGCAATTTCGATGAAGATGATGAACCGAACTGAAGATGGAACATATACACCTAACCCCTGAATGAATCTGGCAGAAGCTGAATACTTCCACCTTACCGAGCAAACTCCGGTTTTAGTTCTTGAAGGGTGGGAGACAAGTGTTTTAAGTAACTAATATGGGTCTGGTTAGTAGGCTAAGGAGGATCCGTCAGTAGTCACTGAGCAACTCATTGTTAAACATTTATGGTAGTATTAGTAATCACTCGTTAAATAGATACTAGGTATCCAGTTACCAGTGGTTAGGAGGTTCATCAGAGTTTTCCTTAGTATAGATTAGGAGAGTCATTAGTTGCTTGGGGGTCATTTCTCCCTTGGACAATTTGACTCGTGGTGATAGCCCCTACTCTGGTCCGGAGTACTGCCCAACCTCTTGCTAAAGTGCAAGCACGACCAATGTGGCATTTTTTTCAATAAAGCTGATAAACTGAATGAAGAAAAGCCGTACCCCTGAATGAACCTAGAAAAGTTCAAAAAGACTTCAGAAACACTGAGCAAACTCCAGTTTAAGGTCTTAAAGAGCAGTAGCAATGGTTTAAGTAACCATTGAGCGTTGTTTTCTATCATTTCCAACAGATTAATAGAAGGCAGTGTACTGTTTGTTTGTAGGTTGTCATGCCTACAGTAGAAGCAGATGTATCCTTTGGTCTTGGAAAGTTCGACCTCTCAAATGATGAAGTGAGGCGCAGGGTGGCGAATGCTCTTGATGCAGTCGGCATGGGTTCCTACATGCAGGTAGAGGATTTGAAAAATATAGCTTGTGGAGGTTCACAGATTGCATTGATTCCATTATGATTTATTTTAATCTGCATTCTTCACAGAGACCTGTGCAAACTCTGAGTGGTGGTCAGAAGCAGAGGGTTGCAATTGCTGGTGCTCTGGCTGAAGCATGTAAAGTGCTCTTACTGGATGAGCTGACAACGTTCTTAGATGAGAAGGATCAGGTTAGCTCTTGAGGAGTCATCACCTTACCATTTTAGCTAACAAATCCTGCCTTCTTAAGCGGAAACATTCTTTCTCTGAGTTTTTGGCTGGTAGATTGGGGTGATCAAAGCACTGAAGAACACATTAGATGTATCAGACGACGTCACAGCTCTATGGGTAACCCACCGTCTTGAAGAGCTCGAATTTGCAGATGGGGCATTATATATGGAGAAAGGGAAAATCGTCAAGCGAGGAGATGCTTCAAGAATAATGAATTTCATCAAAGCCAAACAATCCTCATACTTCAGCGAAATTAACCAGTAATGTACATATGTTTCTCTTATAAGCTTTCAGTCTGATTGGTCACATTCAGAGAAGTTCAAGCTAGCTTTTGGTCCAACTTTTCTTGCTTTTCAAGTGGTCACTTCTCAGTTGTGGTGGGGATCATTCCGTGTACTTAGGGTAATGCACTTGATCAGGGTTGTTTTGTTAGGTATAGAATCTAGAATGTCACTAGATAGACTAGATCAATGAACCTGGTTATCCTTCAGCCCACCTAACATTGTAGCATTGTTATTCCTGTACAATCCTTGGGATTTGTAAGTTATGGTAATTGTCAACTGAACCTAATGTGGCAAAAATAGACCAACATTCAGTTCTACAGGAAAAAACAATTTCACATACAGCAGCTGTATAGTCTTCCCCAGAATCTTATCCAAGCTTTCTGTGTGTGTTCAGTGTCTTGTTGACTGGACAAAAATCGGTGTCATGGATTTCAGGCTGTTCCATGTTCATGTCTTCCGTGATACTTCGGTTTTACTTCTCTTGTTAGGTCTTAGACTTCACATCGGAGCTGTAGGCGTTTCATTCTTGCTCGTTGTACGATGTTCCATATTCAAATAGCTGAGATTCACCAAGTACTATTGGTATGGGACGATTGATTTCATTATCAGATCTTCTCAATAGTATCTTGGTTTCTTTCCTGAAGTTAAAAGCTAAACTAACAGCATGTACCTTCTTGTTCATCATCAGGCTTTGCTTGTTGCCTCTGGACTTCTATTCCAACGAAATTTGTAAACATGGTCTGAACAGATCTGGTTTCTTTCCTTGAAGTAAAGCTGACTCAAACTGCTATAGACAACAAATGGATTTAGTAATGGTTTAATGACTTGTATTCCAAACAAGTAAAGTTTACTAAATATGGAAGTATATCAACTTCCTTGGCTTTCAATTCAATACAACAGACATGTGTATACTAATGGTACAAATGTATTCCATGAGGGGGGAAAAGAAGAAGAAAGAATACATTAGACAATGCTCTTATTTACGTTACGAGGCTATGTGACTAAGTTACAATGTCAATTAGCTCGTACCGATACTCAGAATCCCAAATTAAGGGTTTTCTCATAATTGAATATCGAAATGAATTTCTAATGTAGATGAATTTCCTTGTGAGATCCGAACCTGAATCTCAATGTTGAACCGAGCAATAGTACTTTCCTGGACCATACTCTCATTCGCAAGATTTCGAACCCTGTTTCCCTATTTGTTAAATTTTTACATCTCCTCGTCAAGAGTATTTGCTTTGTAAGAAGGTATGGAAGGAGATCCAAGAGAAAGAGTAGAAAATAAACATAGGATACGTAGCGATAGGTGCAAGGCTGCCATCTTTTCTACAACTAAGTCCTACCTTCCCCATCTTCTCCTTCTTCTGTTGGTAAGCAAAATGCCAGCACATTGCACCTTTCCCACCAAGTCACTTTCAGGTTCCAATCCAGCATCATCCCTTCTTCTAACCATAATGTATCTGCCTCTTAACTTTAAGATTAGTTTATTAGTGACATTCTTCACTAGTCATTATAAGTTCTTAGTAATGTGATTAACCCCCTCTTTCTTTGCTTAATCAACTTGCTTAATTTCCCACCTCTATTAGTTGATTGATAGATTTTGAAGGGAGGGGTTTGTCTAGGTTAATTGGGTATATATGTCTTTGCTTGGATGTAAAGAAACAATTTTTTTGAATGAGTATGGTCTATGCTAATTTTGTTTTGGTGAAATGCATAGAGATCCAAGTTAACGAGTCAGATGATGCAATAGATGTAGCTGATATTGCGCTTTTGAAGGACATGATATTATTTGTGATTTTATGATAAATAACTTTGAAGATTTAGGTTTTTTTTTATGAGAGGGAATTGTATAAACTAAAATTATTTTATAAGTGATAAGTAGACTTTGGTTTGTTTTATGAATAAGGATATTGTTGAGTTTTTTAATCCTTTTCGTTTGGGTTAGTGAGGGATTGGACGTTTGATCAACCTTTTTTATTCCCAAGCTTAACCACATTATATTGTTTTTCCAAACCTAATCTTCAACTAAAACATAATAATAACACTACTTCACTTCATTTCATTTGCTTTATCTATAAATAATATATTTCTTGGAATATTTAAAAAAAATCAACTCAATTCATTGGTGATAAACAAAGTTCAATTAATATTTAGACCTTCCTAATTAGGTTGGGTGGAATATTCTCAATTAGTAATCTTTCTCCTTGTTCATAAGTCCTCCCACCCCCAAAAGAGATTGGATAGAGAACTATGAGAAGTGAAGATATGTCTTGACCTACCACAAGCCTATGAATTGGCTGTAATTTTTTTAACTAATTAAATCAACATGAACAATTCAAATTGGTTCCTTTTTTTCTAAATTGTTTTTGAAGAGTTGGTAGTGGAAACAAAAGGAACTCAATGGAATGAGACTGCCATTCTTCCCATAGGAAGATTTCAATTGGAAGTTAACTCTCTCTCTCTCTCTCTCTCTCTCTCTCTCTCTCTCTCTCTCTCTCTCTCTCTTCCTATATTGACTTCCCAAATTCCATCTTCCTGCTTCATACAATCATCCCCCATTTCACCTAGCTAAGCCTTTTGAATCTCTCTTTTCTCCCATCCCCAATGTACATATCCTGAAGTTGATCATTTGGGTTCATCCACAACAATGAGAGGAGTAATAGGTAGTTCCCCGTTGGCCGCCACCCTCGAGCCCAGACACCGATTGCCTGCATCAATGTGAGTACTTTTTGGAGTATAGTTCGAGTTTCAAAGTTGATGTTTATAAATCAATTCGTATTAATAACTGAGTTATTTGTTATGTTGATAAAAGGAAGCTTCTTCAGAAGAGAAACAAAATCAAAGGTGTCATTGAGAAGTCTATATTCAATGATCACAAGGGTGGTGGCTGCTGCATTAGATTTGGTTCCTTTGTCAAGTTTTGTGTAGTGGTCATCATCTTCTGCACAATTTTCACTTTTGTCTCATTTCCTGAGGTTGATCCTCTCTCTTCAAGGCCAGGTGGAAGGTAAATGTTTCAAAGAACACTCTCTGAAATTTTCAATTTTTATAGTGTAAAAATTCTGTTTTTGCGGTTTAAGTATATGTGGTTTTAAACGTTTGTAACCATGTTCTTCTAGCAATCATACGAAAAAGGTAACTTATGAGTTATGACGACCATCAGTCAAGTCGTGTGCTCGTTTAATGCTTTCGTTCTTTCTTAAGTAAATTACTACCCCTGCTCAATATTTTTGGTCTGTTCCATTCCAGGCCAAATTTTGTGAACAGGTGGATATGGGGTGGAGAAGACCCAAGATACACAACAAACCTTGAACCCATCAACTGGAACCACATAACAAAAATCCTCCACCAAACCCTAGGTGAGCTCAAAGAACACCAAGGCATAGGCTTCCTCAACTTCAACACCAACAAGACTGAAATCCAACACTGGAAGGACCAAATCTCCCCTAAGGCCAACCACATTGTCCTCAGACTTCAAAATGCAGACCCAAACACGACCTGGGACGCCCTCTACCCCGAATGGATCGACGAGGAGCAAGAAACCGAGGTCCCGATCTGTCCCATCCTGCCGAAAATCGAGCCACCCAGAAGGCGGCTCGACCTCATAGTGGTCAAGCTCCCTTGCAGGAATGAGGCCAATTGGTCCAGAGACGTTGCCAGGCTGCACTTGCAGCTGGCATCAGCTAATCTTGCTGCTGTTTCTGCTAAAGGGAATTACCCTGTGCATTTGCTGTTTGTTACCAAGTGCTTTCCTCTGCCAAATCTGTTCACTTGCAAGGAGCTTGTGGCTAGGGAAGGCAATGCTTGGCTGTATAAGCCTGATCTGGGTGTGTTGGGGCAGAAGGTGAATTTGCCTGTTGGGTCTTGTGAGCTTGCACTTCCTCTTGGGGACAGAGGTTAGTTCTTGTTCTTCAACTTCCTTCTAGTGTCTTTAAAATTGTAGCTATTTGGTAACATAATTTACAGGTTTCATTTGTCATGTATGATTTGGCCAAATCATGATTAATAATGAATGCGTTCTAATAATTTGAGTGGTTGATGGATTATGTTCGTGTAGGCTTTTATATAGTCTCGTAGTGTGAAAATTTCGGTTTTCATTCTTGTTTTAAATGTGTGATTTATAAACTTATGAAAACCAAAATTAGAAAAAATCATATCCTTGTTGTTTTACAACGATCTGTTACATTTTATCACGATTTCCATTACATAATTTACATGTTTTTATCTATCTCGCATATGATTTTAACAATTCGATTACATAATTTAAATATTTCAAATCCTAATTCTACAACAATCTATAGCACTTCAACACGATTCCGTTATATAATTTACATGTTTCATCTATCTAACATGTGATTTTGATAGGATGAATAACGAATTGATTCTAATAATTTCAGTTTAATATTGAAGAATTCTGTTCATTTGGGCAGGACAAGGCGGGTACGCCGGCAACCCGAGGCGGGAAGCCTACGCGACGATCCTCCACTCCGCCCACGTCTACGTCTGCGGCGCCATCGCCGCCGCGCAGAGCATCCGCCTCTCCGGGTCGACCCGAGACCTTGTCATCCTCGTCGACGAGACCATCACCCCGTACCACCGGAGCGGGCTGGAAGCCGCCGGGTGGAAAGTCCGGACGGTACAGAGGATCCGAAACCCGAAAGCCGAAAAGGACGCCTACAACGAATGGAACTACAGCAAGTTCCGGCTGTGGCAGCTCACCGACTACGACAAGATCATCTTCATCGACGCCGACCTCCTCATCCTCCGCAACATCGACTTCCTCTTCTCCATGCCGGAGATCACCGCCACCGGCAACAACGGCACCCTCTTCAATTCGGGAGTCATGGTCATCGAGGTAATTAGTTCAATTGCGATAGAAAAAAATCCTCAATGTTCAATAAAAAATGCCCAATTTTGATCATGCTAATCTTGAATCCAGCCGTCCAATTGCACGTTCCAACTGCTGATGGAGCACATCAACGAGATCCAATCCTACAACGGCGGCGACCAAGGCTACCTGAACGAGATCTTCACCTGGTGGCACCGAATCCCTCGCCGGCTCAACTTCCTGAAGCACTTCTGGATCGGCGACGACGAAGAGGTGAAAAGGAAGAAGAACGACCTCTTCGGGTCGGATCCGCCGGAGCTCTACGTGCTCCACTACCTCGGGATGAAGCCGTGGCTGTGCTTCAGGGATTACGACTGCAATTGGAACTCGGAGATCTTCCGTGAGTTCGCCAGCGACGTCGCTCACTCGCGGTGGTGGAAGGTCCACGACGCGATGTCGGTGGAGCTGCAAGGGTTTTGTTTGCTGGAGTCGAGGCAGAAGGCCCAGCTGGAGTGGGATCGGCGGGAGGCGGAGAAGGAGGGATTCGTCGACGGGCATTGGAAGATCCCGATTAGGGATTCGAGGTTGAGGAAATGTGTGGATAATGTTTGTAATTGGAAGAGCATGTTGAAGCATTGGGGGGAGACGAATTGGACCGACGTCGATGTGGTTTTGAATCCGACGCCGCCGACGATCAGAGCTATTTCCTCTTCTTCTCCTTCTCTTAATGGATTGTGAAATACTGAAATGCAATTCTGAAAAATCGCTTCCGCCAAGTTTCAAAGTAGATACCCTGCCGGCGAGAGAACGGCGAGTTTTCTGTATGTTTCCAATTTTATCTGACGTCCTCGAATTTTTGGAACTTCTCCTCTTGGTCCCTTTTTCTTGTAATACTTGTATTTAGTGAAAATAATAATATTTTATAAGATCTAAGAGATTTGTTTATTCATCTACATAATTCGTTCAAGCACGCATAACTTCATTAAGGATCTCTAATTTTGGTTCACACTTTTGTTATACATGAATATTCTTGAAAAAGTTATATATCGAGAATGCGAAAGGAAAAATAAAAAACACTTCTAATAATTAATTATTTTTCATTTCCTTTGGTACAAATAAAAAACTATTACAAAGAACTTTTAGGAATCCACTTATCACCTTGAATGAAATTTGTTAATGAGTATGCATTTACATGTTCTTTAGGAAGTTGACTACTCCATTTCACTCTTTCTGATTTCCTAGATCCATCTCCAAAATTCCCAAACTCACCATAGTAAAGAGTGTCCAGTCCAAAATCACCATCCCATGGCATCCACCCTTCTGGAGCTACCACATCTCCCATTCCACAGTTTATAAAGACTTCTCTTGAGTACTCCTTCCATGGCCTCCCTAAATAATTCCTATGCACTTTGGGATTGTTCTTGAACAATGTCATGTACTCTTCAGTTCCATTGATTGTGCAGTTGTGGAACACAAAACCTGTACACACAGAGAGGTTATACATCAAATCAATTAAAATCGATGACCGTCAGTAAACGTTTTGCATAGCGAGTAAAACAGTTGACGACCATACATATAACTGAAAGTTAGGGAAGGGATCCGATTCACTCCGAACCAGGAACCGAACCAACTCAACGGTTGGATCGAACGATACCGTACCGTGCAATTGTATAGTTCATTTCTGATTTTCATATCCAATCTAGTTTTCTCTTGATTCTACTGACTTTCTCAAAAGAAAACGAAAAAATAAACTGAATCAACACTGGAGAAGACCAAATTTAATCAAATACGATGTTTTATGCTCGATTTTCATCATCTGACTTCCAAATTTAATCCAGTCTTATATCAATTCGATGCAGATTTCAAATTGCACCCATGATAAATGCTCAAAACCTAGAATATAGCTATCATACATAAATCAAATCGTAATGTTTGAGCTCTCTAACAGACCTGTTGATTGGACTGGCTCTGTTCTTCCCTGTGCTGTGACTGAATTATCTCCACCACTTTCAGGGCTGTCGAGCTTAGGGTTAAGCTGGATGAGGCAATCCTCGAATACAGCTGCTGCATTGCCAAAGATGAAGTCCACATTCCCCGTGATTCGACACGATTTGTAGTACTGTCGAAGTGAGTGTGCATATAATGTGTCTTGGTGGCCTAGGAACTCACAGTTGTCGATCATGGATTGGTCACTGTCTGATATAAAAGCCACTGCTTGGTGCTCTGGGGCTCCTGCTGTGTTCTGGATCGTGAGGTTTGTGGCCATGAACCCATCACCTAGAACGGCTTGAGAACGAAAAAAACAGGGTACAAATGGTGAGCAAGGCATTATCAATTACATGAACTAATTTGTTCATCTTCTAATTTTATGCATGTTTGGCTGTCTCGTAGATAGAAATAGTATGGAAATATTATATTGGTTTTAAGTGTTCGACAAGAACTTGAGAGTTACTGGGACGAGTTGGTCTTAATATAACATACAAGGCCATAACATTTTCTTTAAGGTCAATAGAAACTTACACACAGTGGCTGAATCATATGTGGTAATCCCAGGTTGATGACCAACACCTAAAGATCCTGTGATGATGGTTTTGCCCTTACCGTCACCTAAAAACACGACATTTTTCTTCTCGAATGGGATCTTAACCACTTCATCATACAACCCTTCTTTTATATGGATCACAAACTTCTTGTCAATCACGTTGCATGGAGCAGCATCAACGGCTTCTTGCACCTTCTTGTAACGACATTGCTCATTTGAACCATCATCACTACTTCCCTCTTTACAAACTACAACATCAATGACCAAGTATTTAGTTGGGAACTCACTTCTGAACTCAGGCTCATGTTTAGGGTTTTCCCAAAACCCATCTCGCTCGGTCTCTGGACGCCTCCATAGACTCATATCACCCCCGAATCGATCATAAGAAACCACCATTGCTAGGGCATTGCTAGTGTAGTTGATCAGATTGGTCAAGCACAACATGGGCTCATTTGTTAATTGGGAGTAGTTACTTGCGTAGTACTTCAATCCTCCGTAACAATCGTACTGGTAAGACAATGCGGCGCTCATCCATGCTCGAGCATCCTTGATCTTTCTAGAATCGGATGAGAACGAATCGTTGGATGAAGACAAACGATACCTCGAGCAATTGAGCACCTCCAGACATATTTCGGCCGTGTGGGTTATGTTTTGGTTTCCTTGTGCCTTGCTTAGTAAAGCTTTTAACTTCGATTGTGTGAAGTTGAGGGTTGTGGAGGATAACCCTATGGTGGATTGGATGATCTGAATTGGGGTTGGGTTCGATGGGACGAGATTTGGCTGGTTCAACGATGATATGCAATATTGTCGATGTCTTGTTGCATTGCATGCTAGTTGGATCTCAATTGGTTCGTTGGATTGTGATTGTGTGGATGGAGCTACATTTGGTGGAATTGAAATTGGTTGTGCAGAGGAAGGAGAGAGAATAGCAAAAAATTTGATGATCAAGCAAATTAATGTGGAGATTTTCAGACTCGAGATCTGGTGTGGTTTTTTAAATGTGTTTTCTTTCATTGAACGTATTTATGTGTTCGTCGATGTTCGTCAAATTGTCAATCTGTCGATTGCGTTTGAGATTTCTCAGTAAGAAAATTTTAGAATTTGATAATACATGAATCGTGCAAGAAAGGATTTCTTTTTAATGCATTTTAGAGTTTGAGAACATAAGAACAGAGAAAAATACGGATGTAGTTTAGAGATGGATATATGGAAGTTGTGATTGTTATTTTGTTAAGAGAGGAGAAACAAAGAAGAAAGGAAGTCAATTAGTGTTTTACATTTATTGTGCGTTGTTTGTTTGCAAGCAGTGGTGTTTGAAAATTAACGTAAAGATATCAAAACGGTCATAAAACTATTATGTTCAATAGGGTCATTATTCTAACCGTCATAATTTTTTTTTAATGTCTTTGAAAATTCATTCTCACTATTTATTTATGCACAATATATGGGGATAAGATCAGGTGACTAAGGGGGGTCCCCTTAGTCACTTGCCTAAGTCAATCCTAGTCTTTCAAGTTCATTAAAATCCAATGGCTCTAATTAATTCAATTTAATGAAGGGTAGTGTAGTAATTACATGATTCATAATTATTTTATTTTTATAAATTAATAATTAAAAAAATCCAACAGTAGCGACCCCGGCCGTCCAGCCCGTCTCCTCGCCGGGTCTCCTCGCCGGTCAAAATTTCCCGGCGGCGCCGTCAGTCTTTTCGGTTGCTCTTTCAAAAAAAAAAAAGCATTCCTGCCATTGCTTATCGGTTCGTCCCAGTGCCATTTATTATTTATTTTTCGTCTCCGTCCACTTGCGCGAGCACTCCCGTCTCCGTCCCGGTTGTTAATTGCCGGCGGTGGTCAATTTTCCCGGCCAGGGGAATTCCGGTCGTTATCTGGGTCGGGCCGGGGAATTCTCCCCTCATGCGCCATTAATTCTTTCCTCCGTCCCGGTTGTTAATTGCCGTGGTCAATTTTTCCGGCCAGGGAAATTATGGTGGTTACCTGGGCAATTGTCGGGCAGGGGAATCCTCCCTTCTTGCGCCATTATTCTCCATCATGAGAGAGAGAGAGAGAGAGAGAGAGAGAGAGAGAGAGAGAGAGAGAGAGAGAGAGAGAGAGAGAGAGAGAGAGAGAGAGAGAGAGAGAGAGAGAGAGAGAGAGAGAGAGAGAGAGAGAGAGAGAGAGAGAGAGAGATTTTCTGGTCGGAAAATTTTTTCCGGCGAACATCGTCGCCGGAGAAGAATTTCCCGGCGACAGTGCTAATTTTGTGATGTTTGTTGACGTATTTTGTAATGTTTGTATGCTTTGTTATTTTGTAATGTTTGTCGGGTTTTTTTGTAATGTTTGTAAACTTTGTTATTTTTGTGCATCATGTTTGTAAACTTTGTTATTTTTGTCAACCATGTTTGTAATGTTTTTTAGTCTAAAAAACAACCTGGTTGACTTTTGGATGGACCTCCTCTATATAGGGATGGAGCCTCCAAAGTCAACCCGGGTGTTTTTTCCCATTCGTATGGATTGTCGGTCTAGTTTGTCATTTTTGTCCACCATGTTCGTACTGTTTGTATGTCTAAAAAACACCCGGGTTGACTTTGGGAAGGAGCCCCTCTATATAGGGATGGAGCCTCCAAAGTCAACCCGGGTGTTTTTTCTTTTTGTATGGTTTGTATTGTTTGTCAGTCTAGTTTGTATTGTTTGTACAGATCATACGTTTGTAATGTTTGTATGTTTTGTCGCTCTAGTTTGTACTGTTCGTATGTTTGTATGGTTTGTATTGTTTGTCAGTCTAGTTTGTATTGTTTGTACAGTTCATACGTTTGTAATGTTTGTATGTTTTGTCGCTCTAGTTTGTACTGTTCGTATGTTTGTATGGTTTGTACTGATTGTAAATCCGGTTTGTATACTTCGTAATTTTTCATAATACCCAAACTACCCCTGCTATTAATTAAATAGCCCTTCCCACTTTTTAACCATTGGATTGAAGTGTCCAGATCTAATGGCTAGGAGGGACTTAGTCAAGTGACTAAGCACCCCCTTAGTCACCAGATCCGCACTCCAATATATGAAATGAAAATTATGAAGAAGGAGTTATCCAATTTTAGTATGCCGCTTTCAGATCTTCGGATTTCGCGCAAACGCCAAGTGAAGTCTGTTAGTCGTCATCTAACCAAATCCAATTGAATGAATTGATGATGCTAAAACAAAAGCTAGAATTAAGCATAATCAAGTCTTAAACATAATCTATAATAATTAACTACCGACACATGACAAGATCATGCATCGCACAACGGCGCCCCACCTCGGGACACGACGAGGTAACCAGAACGCTCCGATCTGCATAGGCATATACATACAGGTTGCTGTCGTGGGGATTCACCATGTAAATCGTGTTCCTCTTAAACCCAAACTTGCTGGCTCGACATCCGAATCCGCCCGACCCAGTGGAATGAACGTTTAGCGTAGTCACACCCCACCCGACGAAATCCGTCCTCCGCGACCAACTGAAAAAGAATGCCCGATCCCCGAGATCCTTCACCTCTTTCATTCGCATCCTCTCGATGCCGATCCTAAACACTTTGACATCCAGCACGACGTTCGCATCCCGATTGGTATATTCTTCTCCAGCCAAAAGCTGGTGGAAAAATAATAGTTTGCCACAAGATTCGACCAGATAACGCCTGATGTCCCCGCATGCCTTGGTGGAAGGTTGTATGATTCGAATTTGTTCTTCTTCAACTATTTTGACCCGGTAGTTTGGTCGTAACTTGATCTCCAGAAACTTCAGATGCTCTCTCGGTGGTGTCCCGAACCCGTAGATCTTGCCTTGACAGGCAGCAGCTCCCAGCACTTTAGCTCCTCCCTTGCTAATCGTCCACTCCTTATCACCAACTCGGCAGTACATTGCCACGCCCTCGTAGTCGTCGTCTTCGCCGAAAACCATGACGATGAGTTCGGAACCACCACCGTCGGTTGTTGGAGCCATGTGGAGCAAACAACATTGGTAGACGAAGTCGTCACTCTCCTCCCACGTCGGTAGCGAATCGAAAGACATAGTCTTTGTGTTGAACAGAACACAGTCTCGTGCCACAAGATCCATCAGCAGCACCATCCCATGACCGCGGCCGTACAGTTTTTTCCCTCTCAATCTTTCATCTATTGTACTAGTCTCTCTTGAATGGTACACTCCCGTGGCCAAATCGACGAATGTGATCTTCTCTTCTTCTAATTTCTCTCCACCGTGAGAGATTACAATCCATGGTCGCTCTGTTTCTTCTTCTTCTTCTTCTCGTTTCTCCTCCTCTACACCTTCACTAATGACTTCACCTCCTTCAACTATTTGCTCCTCGTCGGGGTTCGACAACGACCAGTCGAGCTGTCGTTCGGAAAGGTACTCGAAATTGGGTATCCAGGTACTGTTCAACGGAATGTTCGTGCCTACCAAGTCCTCTGATGCACCCTTCTTGTCCCTGCCGCGGCGGTGGCCCATTGAGTGGAATTTCGAGGTGGAGAGTGAGTAGAACACACCGTGCCTTCCACGCAATCGCGCGAAATGGATGGTGTTATCCAATCCCGGGACTCCAAGCTCCTTACTTGACATGATCACACTTGACGTGGGGCTCAAGAAAGCCACTCGGCCTTTCAGGTCAGAAACAGATTGCCACAGTTTGACATTCTCGTTGAACTTGAGAACCCTAACAGACTCCCCTCTCGATCCGACCACAATTGAGATCAAATCTTCTTCTCCTCCTCCTTCTAGGCGCGGGGACTTCAAGAGGTAGTTCTCGCTGTGAAGGTCGGCCACGAAAGCAGGGTGTTTGGTGTCGAGCAGGGTCCACAACGTGCTACCCTCTGCCTCCTCCTTCTTCCTCGCCTCCTTCTTGCAGCGGAGGATCCCGAGGATTTGGGTTCTGTCACTCGACACAGGTAAGTTTTAGTATAAAAGAAAAATAATACATCTCTATCTACGTTCATTAAACATATTGATCTCGTCATATGTTAAAGTGACATAAAAGTATATTTGCAAGTGCACTAAACTCTTTTCTTATTATTTAATTGTTGCTTATGGTTAATAATTATGTTACTCTTTTTCTTAACTAAAATTTTAAAATTGTTGTTCGACCGTCACATGTCTCTTACAATTCAACATAATGTTGTCAACTGATGAGCATTACTAATAAAACTGCTAACGAAGAGTTAACATTAACTAATATTTCATATTTTGAAAATTTTTAAGAGGACGACACACCTTGTTTCAATTCCTGGCTCTGTCGCGGCTACTCGGTGCTTGGTTGGGGGTTTGAAAACCCCGAGCCGTCCGTATTGGTCAAGGCAATAGAAAGCTCCATTGTGGAAAACAGGGGCGGTCCTGGAATCAGGCCACTCGAAACCGCTCATGCAGGTGATGGGCCACAAGCACTTGTTGCAGCGTCGTCTGAGTTTGAACGGCGGCGTCCTCCTCCTCCTCCTCCGTTTGCCTCTACCACCAGTTCTCTTACTTGCATTGCAATTATCATCCGGCGGTGGTAACCAGCGTTTGGGGTACAAATCGTAGTTGCACAGTCTCCTCATCGTCGTCCTGTTGGGGACCTTGTTGTTGTACGTCCAGCAACTCTCCCCGCGTCGAATGAATGCCACGGGTACGTAGGACTCGCCCATATGCGGTTCCACGAGCGCGAAAACAACGCAATCGGGGGACGTCGGCGGCGCCGAGAAGCTCATCCGGCTGCAATCGTTGCGGTGGCAGTCGGGGAGGTGGATGGTGTTTCCGGTGGCGGGGTGGAAGAAGAAGAAGCGGTCGTTCTGCCTCTGCGAGAGAAGCAGCCAGCCGTGGTTGGAGGAGTGGATGAGGGCGTCGTCGAGTTCCGGCGGCGCGTCGACCAAGTACCACGCGCCGGACGGGGCAGAGTAGAGCTGGTAGAGGGCGGATGGCTCGTCGGCTGGGCTTTTGCAGAAGCGCAGCATGAAGGGGTATTTCGAAGAAGAAGAAGAAGCCATCTTTTGTCGTATGCTTTTGCTTTCTCTCGATCGGAAATTGATGAACGATGGATAGGATTGTAAATTAATTATTGGCTTTATTACATAGGAGAAGGTGGTTGCTTTTGTATTCGGCAATGGTAATCCATGTTTACGGAGGGAACAGATTGTTAGGACTTAGGACTTAGGAGTAACGTTGTCCATTTCCTTCTAGCTATGGGAATTCTGCGAGCCCGAGCCCGAGCCCGTGTCTCATTCTACTCGAACATACGATTCATTTCATTCGGCCCTTTCGGTGGGTCGTTCACATGGGTCGGGTGGTTTGGATTTGGTCATTTTAATCACCCGATCCATATATTGTGATTTTGAAAATGTTAAATTCAACCCATCCCAAAAAAAACTAAAATCTTATGGTTTGTTTAAAGTTGGGTTAAGTTGGGTTGGAGATACTCTTAATTAAATATCCAACCCAATACAAAAAGGAACTATTATACACTACGGAAATATTATATAACTAGTTAAGATTTTAAACAAAATCGACGCAAAAAGTTTCAATATGCGTAAATATTTGTCGAAGTAAGCTAAAGTAGTTATAACCTAACACAATCATAATATGTTGTTCTTCTAAAATGGGTTAATTGCATGGTTGGTCACTGAGATTACAAAAAACGTTCAAGTTTGGTCACTCGAAATATTTAAATCCATTGATGGTACTTCAGTTTACTGAAACCGTTCACGTTTGATCACTCTCCGTCCAACTCCGTTAACTTTGGCTGATGTGGCAGTCAACTCTCAAAGTTGACCGTTAACTTAATGACGTGGCAACTGAAAAATTATTAAAAAATAAAAAAATAAACTTTTATATTTTCCACCTCATTATTACATTCATTAAAAAATAAAAAAAATAAAAAACCTAATTTGTTTTCTACAAACCCCATACCCGATGCTGGATCTAATACTATCTTTAACCTGCTCTGTTGCATTGTTTTGACTGTTGTTCTTATCTTCTTCAAATGGCTCTGTACTACAGCTCGACTGCCACTCCCGCCGGAGCCGGCGCATACTCCGATCCGGGGCCGTGAAGGACCACAGCCTCTTCACTCTCAGCTCCGGTACTTTCTCCCACGGCAATGACTACTCTCCCACCACTTGCGCTTCGTTGCGAGCTTCTGTGGATTCGGCTCCCAAAGCCCGGTTCGTGGCACGGCGGAAGGAATCTATCTCCGTCAGCCAACTTGGGCGCCCTCTAAGTAGTGTTAGGATAAGCGTATGTTATTTTCACTTCGTGTCAGGGATCTGGGTTTGCTTGTTCTGATTGAGGGTTTTCTTGCTTGGTTGGCAACTTTGTAGCGGAGTACATGAGCTTGCCGGCGAGTCAGTACTCGGTGCTGGATGCCGAGAGGATAGAGAGGGTGGATGACAACACGTTCAGGTGTTATGTCTACAGGTTCAAGTTCCTCAATTTTGAAGTTTGCCCTGTTTTGCTGGTTAAGGTTGAGGAGCAGCCTTATGGCTGCTGTATTAAGCTCTTGTCTTGTAAGGTACTGTCTGCTTTCTCTTCTCCTCCTCAATTGTTAACTTACAAGTTACACCACCTGTTAGTTAGAGATGGGTATGATCGTATGAGGAATCTCTGATTATTGAATTTGTTCTGATGCCAGTAGCAACTTTATAAGTAAATTTCCCCGAAATAAAAGCTTTTATGTATATGCACACTTTTGATTGCTGCTTCTGATATTTAGCTGCTTGTCCTGTGATCCTAAGAACTTGGCTCTCGTGGCCGGGATGTCGTTGGATCTGAACCTGACTCGCACGCGGATCTCCGACGAGGACGATTACTTGACCTTCACGGCCTCCACCAGGGAGAACAGCAACAGGAACGAGCGCAACTTCAGGATCCTGCGATTGACATTCGACGGGAGCATCGAGGACCTCAGCTCATCCCGGTCGGTCCTGCCGAACGACCGCTGCGACGGGAACAGCACGGCGGATGGTGCGCGTGGTATGGGGTTTGTAGAAAAAAAAATAGGGTTTTCATTTTCATTTTATTTTTTAATGAATGTAATAATGAGGTGGAAAATATAAAATTTTTAATTTTTATTTTTTAGTTGCCACGTCACTAAGTTAACGGTCAACTTTGAGAGTTGACTGCCACATCAGGCAAAGTTAACGGAGTTAGACGGAGAGTGACCAAACGTGAACGGTTTCAGTAAACTGAAGTACCATCAATGGATTTAAATATTTCGAGTGACCAAACTTGAACGTTTTTTGTAATCTCAGTGACCAACCATGCAATTAACTCCTTCTAAAATTGTACATAAAAAAAAAGATAAATCAACTTGATTTCATTACACCTACATCAATGCAATTCACTTGCAATTGCATATGGAGGTTTAAATGACTTTATATTAAATAAAAATAAATAAATCAAGAGATAAAAAAGAAATTATTGTTTTATTATTTTCCTATTCACTTGGGGGTTTGTAAACCCTAGCTAGAATTATGTGAATGTTTGTATGGATTGAATGACTTGGGTGTGGTAGTGTTTTAATACAAGTATTGAGGTATTTTCATGAAGGTAGTGTTGTGTTTTCCATTTCCAACTCTTATGCCAACTTGATCTAGGTAGAAGGAAATCCCCTTCTTGCTAAGAGGTTTTTAAAAGTTGGAATTCCTTGGCCAAATAGTGTCACCTCTACATATGTCGAATTAGGGCAAACCTCTTACTACGTGTTAGCACCTTTGGTAGGTGGTATTTTGGCCGTCCAGACTACTTTTCGAGGGAGAAGCCTAAGCAACCCTTAGTCGATTGGCAGAGAGAGCTACTTTGGTAGCTTGATTTGATATCCCTTGGCCTAGTGACCAAGCGAGTGAAGCTTGTTCACTTGTTGCGCTTCCCTATGCTTTACAATCGCTTTTACCACACATTTGCATTTGGTCCATCCAACAAATCGTGATTACTAGCTAGGGGGGGAGCAACACCCGAGTGAAGCCTTCTCAATTAGTGTTCAAAACCATTTATATTTCCAATTACTTTCAATTTTAGTGCATAGTTTCACAAAACTCGATTGCTAGATAATGTTTCAAACAACTGAAGCAGGAGTACATGGACCAGCCCGAGTTTGACTTTTAAAACATACTTGCTCTATATTGCACCAAGCTAAGGTTTATATTTGGATCTTATTTGGGATTTTTATTGTGATATTCGAGACGAGTCAAGTTTTTGGCCCTGTTGTCGGGAGCTTCGATCCATTATATTGACAATATTGTCGGGTGTTAATCTAGCGTTTACCTTTTGTTTTATTGAGTGTGAATCTTGCTTGTGTTAGACGTGTTGTGTTTCTTTGAAGTGTGTGCAGGAGGGTGTATGACCCGGAGTAATCCGACACCTTTGGCTCCACTATGAGAAACTCAACCACACTCTCCGACTCTTGGCTCGGAGAGGGAGCTCGCAGAAGCAAGAAGAAGGATAGAGGAGAAGGGACAACCACAATTTGGTCCCGAAGTTGAAGAAGTTGTAGTTGAGGAAGAGTTTGAATCGAAGGAAGAGGAAGGAAGTGAAACCGAGATGGCGGAGAATCATAACGTCCAAGAGGCAAATGAGGAACCGAGGACCATGGGCTGCTATATGGCCCCACGGGCGGCGGATATCCAACCGATCATCTTACATCCACCCGTGGCCGCCAACAATTTCGAGATCAAGCTCGGCTTCGTCACAATGGTCCAGAACAATATCAAGTTCCATGGGCCTAAGGATGAGTCCCCGAGGGTGCTACAACGACTCAACAATAGACCATCCCTCTCGATTACCTCATGGGACGACTTGCTCAACAAGTTCCTGGCCCGAGATGATCGTTTTTTATCCAAGATATGCCCCAAGGCATGGTCGGACAACAAAATACAAAACATATAATAATAAAAAATGGCATTTTTTGGACGTGGCCTTACCTTGCAAGTGGGGTCCATTGACCCCACAACCAACAACATGGCTCCGCCAATGTCCGTATGCAACCGGATTCCCAATGAAAGAGCCTGTTATGCCACTAGGTGGGCACCTCCGAGAAAGCTCCAAGGAGCAAAAAGACACGAAACTAACACGAGGGGCAGGAAGAGAGAGAGAAAAAAACTTCACTGTAAGTGGCTCATGCACCGGAAGAGAATGCTTCCTCGATATAAGATCCACGTTGATCAGTTGAGAAACCCCGCAATATGTAACAATCAATACATTAAGGGTAAGTTACAATCACATAGTCTCACTAAAGACAAGTAATTTGATATGATCTCTAACCGAAGAGATTAAAATATGCCAAGAGATATGGTCGGACTTCACCGAAAATTCCACACCAATAATGTGGTTTCAACACGAAGAAAGAGAGTTAATTCTAAAAAGTAAAAATAATGGGTAAAATCCAATAAAAATTTTGTGTAAAAGGAAAATGACTAACAAAAATGAACTTGCTAATAGAAATTAAATACTTAATTAATACACCTACGGGTTAAAATTAAATTAAAGAGAGGAAGGTTAAAGAAAGAAGTCTGGTCCTGTGAGGGAAGTAATTCTAAAAGTTCGCCAAAAAAGTTAAAATAAAGTAACCAACGGAGATTAAAACTTATTTAAAGGCTATTAACGCAGCTAATAAAGACAATTACAAAGGAATGTAATTAAAATTAGGAAATTAATTAAAATGTTAGCATTTGCGATACTAACGGTACGAGATTAGGCTCCTGTAATTACGCCAAGAACTACTCCGAATTGGTAATGCATCTCCGGACTCCGGTCACGACGATCCCGCCGGCGCTAGGCAACCATTGCTGGAATTGATCCGTCTCACATCGCCGGTTAGGACTGGACTAGTCTGAAAACCAACCGAGCATCCTCCCCGACGACAAATCATGCATACACGCGGAGAGAGTCGCAAGAACCTGAATCTCCACGACGTTGCAACCGGCCATGTCGGAACGCGCCTAATCTGGAAGGATTTTGCCGGGGAGAGAATCAACTCTGACTTTTTGAGGAGCCTTGAGGTTGAAGTCCGTATCAACAGTAGATCCTGGAACCATATAAAAAAAAAAGAACAAAAAGAAAAATGAAGAGCTAATGCCCTTCGCCGATTGAGAGAGAAGAGTGTTGGTCACCCTTTGCCGTATCCCGTTTGCCCTACGCCAGATCAGGAGCCGATTCGAATATAGTCGTAAGGAAAGAGTACATAATAAAGGATTAGGCTTCTAATCGTTAACAAAGAAAATAAGAACATCGGCATGTGAGACGGCGACACGACAACAACGACTAGAGAGCAGAAAAACATCAACCAGTTCCCCAGCGAGCAGTGATGACTTCTGCAGCTATTTCTCCATTCGTCTAGTCTGCCAAAGAATTCCCCCAACCACCAAACCTCTCTACTCGTCGGAGGGAGGCTCTCACTCAAGAGATGACCGTTTTGCTTGAAGATATGGCGACAAAGGGGTATGATTGGGGTTTGACGAGACGTGGTAGAAGGGTTGTCGAGGGAGGAGTACACTCCACGGAAACGAGTCCTCCGCTTGTCGCAAAGATTGATCTGTTGATAACTGCACTCCTTAAAGATAAGAAGTAAGGGAAGAAGCCGGTGATGGCATGTGATTGGTGTTCGAGTTCAAACCACGAGATTGCGGAATGCCAATTGATGAAGGAAGCAAGCACCGCGGAAGAACAAGTAAGCTTCATTGCCAATGCTAGGGAAGCAACAACAATCCCTATAGAAACACTTACAACCCGGGGTGGTGAAACCATCCAAACTTTGTATGGTCTTCCCCGAGCAATCCAAGACCCCCGGTTTCCAAGGAACGATGGGGAACTATCCAAAAAAGGCCTTCTTTCATCCAACTAAGGCCCCCAATTATGAGGCTTGGACTTCCAACAACAACCATTCCAGCCGCAAGGTGGTCAAGGTACCAAGAACAACAACTCGACAAGTTTTAAAAAATTGAAGACCTAGTTACCACCTTTGTGAGTACAAGTTCACAGAAGTTCGATAAGATTGAACAATTCATGGATGTGGCAACACACAAGTTTACTTCGATTGAGGCGAGTCTAAGGAGCCATCAAGCAAGTCTTCAATTTTGGAGACTCAAATCGACAATCTTGTCGGGATCCTCACCGAAATACCAAGGGGAGCTCCACCTTCCCAAACTATTGCCAACCCCAAGGATCAAAATACCGATTGCAATGCTATTATCTTGAGTAGCGGGAAGGTAATTCCGGATGTTGTTGCTAACGAGGTAAATGAAGAAGAAAAGGCCCCTCCAAAGGTTGATGATCAAGAAATCTCGAAAAGAGGGGGTGGAGAGGCTAAGAAGGTGTTGCCAACGCCACCACCAGTGGCTGAGTACGAGCCTCCTATTCCTTTCCCTACGAGGGTGCACAAAGACTGGTTGGGGGCGGAGTTTGGGAAGTTCATGGAGATGCTCAAGAAGCTCTGCATTACCATCCCTTTCTTGGAGGCCATGGCGTACATGCCAAGGTATGCCAAGTACCTGATTCTTGCGAAGAAGCAAAAGTTTGAAGACCTCGCAACTGTCACCTTGGGCGAGGAGTGCTCGGCTTTCATTCAAAACAATTTTCCTAAAAAGCAACAAGATCCAGGTAGTTTCACTATCCCTCTTTGCATCGGAGAATGCCATATAGAAAATTCCTTGGAGGATTTAGGTGCAAGAATTAACGTCATGGCCTTTAAGCTTTACAAGAAATTGAACCTAGGTGAATTAAAACCCACTAGGTTAAGTGTGACATTGGCTGACCGCTCGGTGATTAGTCCTAGGGGTATTATAGAAGATGTTCTAGTGAGGGTAGGCGCATTTTATTATCCGACGGATTTCATCATCCTTTGCATCATTGAAGATGCTGATATGCCCCTCATACTAAGACGTCCTTCCTAGCCACTGCCAAAGCTTTAATTGATGTTAAG